GGGTTAGGGCTCTGACCCATCCCTGGCAGCGGGTCCCTGTCCCCCAGAGCTGGGCTGGGGCTCCTGACCCTGGCAGCGGGTCCTTGTCACCAGGAGCTGGGTTGGGGCTCCTGACCCTGGCAGCGAGTCCCTGGTTATCTGTTATCTGAGCTGGGGCTCCTGACCCCACCCTTGGCAGCAGGTCCCTGTCCCCCAGAGCTGGGTTAGGGCTCTGACCCCATCCCTGGCAGCGGGTCCCTGTCCCCCAGAGCTGGGTTAGGGCTCTGACCCCATCCCTGGCAGCAGGAACAGCCGCTGGGGTGACACCAACCTCGCAGCGACAGCTCCCAAAGCACCCCGAGAGCATCAGCACCCTCGCAAAGCCCTGTGGAAAGCACTGGAGGAGAGGACAGCAGCAGAAGGACAGGAGAGGACCGCGGGCGATGCCCGGAGCCCCCGGGGCAGGCACAGCCCGGAGCGGGGCCCCGCCGCTCCCCAGGGCGCAGCCGCTCCCCGCCAGTTGCGCTTTTGCTTTGAGCTGCGAGGGAGGGACCGGCCGTGGGGACCTCGGCAGCCCCGCGGGGACACGCCGGGACAACCTCCGGGACAGCCAAGGTAGGGCTGGGATTCCTCTGTCCTGGTTTTCTTCGGGTCACGCTGGGGGGGACCAGTTGGGCTTTTTTTGGTTGTTGTGCTGGAGATTTGGTGAGGCTGTGCCAGGATGGGACAGCCCAGGGACAGCCAGGAGGGTCCTGTCTTCACCACAGAGCTGGTGTAAGTCCCAGAAAAAATAGGTAGAAGGGAGGAGATGCAAAACCCAGCTATGTTCATTTATTGAAGAGATAATCTTCATTTATTGAAGAGCTCCTGTGTGTGCCCGTGGGATGCTCTGAGCATCCGAGTGAGAGCAGGGGGGTGGCTGAAGCTAAAGCACCCAGCCTTGGAGTTTCAAGCTGTGTTTTCTGCTGTCACTGAGTGAGCAGCTGAACTTAAGGATTAACCCCAACTCCAGCGATTCCCAGCCTCTGCAAACCCAGCAACCCCTGGGATGGGACTGGTCTGTAAGGGGCCCTTGAGGCCACGCAGCCCCATTCCCCCTGCACAGGGATAACTGACCCAATTCCCACACTTTCCTCGGGGTTGTCTCTCTCTCTTTGATTCGAGAGTTTTCCCAAGTGCTCTGTTCCTCACAATTGGTTCCACACTGATTTTCCATGGGCCAGTTTCCATTTGACTGCAAGAACCAGGGAGGAAGAGGACCAGGTTATCACAGCACAGGGACATGGCTGTGCATCCCTGGGGGCCGTGTGCTGATGGTTTGGGGGGATAATTCACAACTTTGGTGCCAGAAACATCTCTCAGGGATATCAGAGTGTGCCAGGAAAGCACAAGGAGGGTGGGGGATTAGGCTGACACACAGCTCTGCCGCTCCCGGTTATTTTCCCTTCTTAACCAGGATAAATATTAACAAAGGAGGACAAGAGCTTTTGCAAAGGATTAAAAGGCAAAAGCAGAGTATTTCACATGGCATTAAACCAGAGCATTTATTTTTTTTCATCATATTCTTGGAATTTAGCTTTCACAGCAAGGGGGAATATTGCTCTGATGGAGAAAGAGATAAATCCCAAATATCTATCAGGAAACTACTTCAAGGCAGAGAAGGCCTCCTGTCATTTGTTAAAAGAACAAAAAACCCAACCCCATACAACATTCAGTTTCTGGTTTCAGCATTTCTATTTTCAGTTCATACCTTGTAAATTCTGCTTCCTGCCAAGGCAGGCCAGAGAACAAAGCGGGTGCTGGGAGAAGCCCAGGCCACCCCTGGGCCAGCTCTGCCCTCCCCACAGAGCCCCTTTGGAGGGACTCAGCCACCCTCACCCTCCTTCACTCTCACAGGAAACTGAATTTCCATTTGATGTTTCCCCTGTGCATGTTCTGCTTTTATTTTAGGTTGTGGAGGAGAAGAAGGAAAATCACAAGAGAGGTGCCAGGCACAGCCCAGCCCAGCTGCTCCAGGAGGGTAAGTGAGCAGGGGACACCAGGGTGCTGCTGCTGTGCCCCTGTCACCCCCAACACAGGTTTTCTGTGTTCTTAAACACATCCCCAACCTGAACACGAGGGGACTGAGCACCCCCAGCTCACCTGGGCCAGCAGCAAGGGCAGGGCTTGGGGGAGGATCCATCCAGGCTGATCCATCCAGGCTGATCCATCATCACCTGGCTCTGGGCAGGAGCAGGAGGTGATCCCAGCTCTGAGAGGGCTCCAGGCACGAGGCAGTAGCAGGGAGAGCACCCACAAACCCAGCCCAGCCAGGAGCTGCTCCCAAAGCCTCTCCCGACCCAGCTGGGTTTAGGAGCTGCTGTGGGTTAAACCCCCGGGATTTGCTAACGAGGACTGGACACCCCTAAGGAGCCTCAGGTGAAGAGCCTGAGCACTGCTGAGGGTTGATGATTTCTGGTGAGGCTCAGCTGAGGGGCAGAGCCCAGCTGTGAGCAGGGCAAGGGGCTGCTCCCCCAGCTCCTGCAGGGGTTCTCATGGAGCAGATGGACACCCAGCTGTCCTCCAGCACATGGGAAATGCTTTCCCCAGGATGTACCCAGCTCTAACAAACTGATTTTAGGCTGCCTGCAGCTCTTACCTGCTGCTCTGACTCATGAGGCACAAATCTTCATTCAGGGCCCCAACGTGGCTGATTTGGGGGGTACCCATGGAAAAATCAGAGGGAAAAGGTGTTCAAGGGGAGAAGGAGGCTGTGCCTGTGGAGAGTCTCTCACCCACTCCCTCACAGTGAGGGGGAAGCAAGCACAGAGCATGCAAACCCAAATTTCCTCTTTCTGGAGATTTTTTTAGCATCGTGCTGGTTTTTTACACAGCACACGGGGCTGAACTCTGTGATGTTGCTGCTTGGGATTTCCAGAGCGCCGTTTCTCACATTGCTGAGTTTTTACACCCCCTCCCCAGCCCTGAGGGTGCCTCTGGGTGCCCTGGCTGAGCCCCCTCGCTGCTCCCCAACTTCAGCTGGGCCCTGGGGACCCCTCGTGCCACAGGGAGAGGCAGAAAGTCCTGAAAATGCCTCCCTGCCCCAGGGCCAGGCTGGAGGGACAGGCAATGGAGTTGCAGGAAAGTTGCTGCGTGATGGGGATGGGGAAGGGCAGGAGCTGAGGGGCAGCAGGAAAAATAAGATGTGCACGTGTGGAAGGGCTGGGGGTGCACTTTTCTTCCCTTTGTGTGTCCCAAGGCCCAGAGATGGACTTAAAGTGGATTTTCCCACCTGGGAATGCAGCCAGGGGAAAAGGAGTTGGATCGAGTCTCCTTCAGTGGAGCCTCTGCCAACAGGAGAGGAGAGACAAGCTGGTTTAAATTGATAAGAAAAACAGTTAAAATAAAAATATTTTTAATTGTCACTTCTGGAGCATAACAGGATCATTTCACCAGCCATTTTACCCCACTGCTGGAGTTAGATGCTCCCTCTTTAAAAGGAAGGAAGGAAGATATCTCAGTCTCCTTGGTGAGAGAAAATGCAAAAATAGGCATGTTTCCTTTTATGGCAGATTTTCTGCTTCCACCCAAAACTACTTCAAAGTTTCAGTATCATCACACCAGCAAGTGTTGGCCATCATTAAATGGGTGTTCACATTTTTTACCTAAGTACTGGAAAAAACCCAGCAGGTACTGCAGCAAATGTCATTTTACCTTTAAAATTAAAATTTTAAAAAATTAAATTAAAAGCATTAAAACATTTTAAATTAAGTACATGTGCCTTTGGCGTCTGGGTTGGTACCTGCGAACTTCTCCACTTAGACCTGCAGGATAATTCTTCATGTGGAAGCCAAAGGCAAAGCTGAGACAGTTTGGCCAGAGATCTGAATTTCCTCTAGAATTATCAGATCTGGCTGAGGTTATTTATGTCTCACACATTCAGATAACATCACTTGTTTGGCTTGCAATTTTAAATAAAATCCACCTCCAGCCTCCTTAGTACCAGCTCTGGCGTTACCAACAGCCCCCAATGTGCACAATGGGTAAGGACAGGCTTAGGAAAAGCAGCTGTGAGGAAGTCAGCTTGGATCAAATGCAGGTAGCTCTGCAAAGGATGGTTTATGTCCTATTTTTAAAATATGAACCTGGTTCTGACCCTATTTTTAAAAGTTGGCCCTGGTTTGGTGAAAGCCACTGACCATGACACAGCGGTGGTGGCTGCATTGAGGGAAAGGTTTATGAGCACGTGGGTTACACCAGGAGCAGATTTCCTTCTGCACCTGCAGCTGGGGAAGGTAGGAATGTTCTGAGGGCTTTCCTGGGAAGCCAGGGGAGTGCTCCCCTCAGGAGTTTTTGGGAGGTGAGAATATCCCCAGGGAGGGAGGCAGGTCCGGCACTGACCACGTGCTGGGACACAGGAGGAACAACACCCTCAGGTTTGTAGCAGAAAATGAACACAATTTCTATTTATTCCTTGGTGGCTCTGCACTCCACTGGGCAGGCCATGGTCCTTGCTGGGCAGCACAAGAGCTGATCACCACCAAAGCCACACAGGTTTCTGCTGGAGAGATGCTCCAGCTTTTTCCATAACTCTTGCTCTGTTCCTCCTGTCTCCCAGCAATGCTTCAACTGTCGCAGACATCTTTTATGAAAAATCCTTTCCTTAGGATTTTCCCTCCTGAGAAGCTGAGAGGCCTCAGGAACAAAATGTAAACAATGATCAGCTGCTGCGGAACAAAACAACAGGAGCATCGATGAGCCCACCATGAAGGATGCTAATAAATAATCAACAACAACCCAGCTGGCTCGGACAGAGTCAGAGACAGAACCTTTGTTATCATTCTTTCCTATTCTATTCTTAGCCAGCCTTCCGATGAAATTCTTTCTTCTATTATTTTTGTATAGTTTTAATGTAAAATATATTATAAAATAATAAATCAAGCCTTCTGAAACATGGAGTCAGATCCTCGTCTTTTCATCCAAAAACCCCTGTGAACGCGGTCACACTCCAACTGCACCTTTCTGTCTTCCAGCCACGGGGCCACATCAGCTGCTGAACTCCTGTGCTGAGAGGAGAGGCTGAAATGCCACCCAAAAGGTGACACACACACAGCTCCGGTGAGGAATTGTCCACTCGGACACAGCGATGCTTTTCCCGGCGTGGATCCCTCCTGCCCACCCCGCAGGTGACCCCAGCGAGCTCTGACCGATGAGCAGGACACTGGAATTAACTCCCCCCGTGCCAAACTGCCCGTGATGAGCCGGTGAGCGGAGATTCCAGGGCTGTGACAAAAAAAATATTTATTTTTATATTTCCTTTGGATCCCGAGCCCCCCTGGCTGCAGCACAGGCGGGATGGACCCGTGAGGATGCCGGGGCTGAGCACGGAGCCGGAGCACAACCATGAACAGCATCTCCAACTGCAGCGAGACAGACCTCAAGCCCTACTACGCCGTCACCTACACGGTGATCCTGATCCCCGGGCTCATCGGCAACACCCTGGCCTTGTGGGTCTTCTATGGCTACATGAAAGAGACTAAGAGGGCTGTGATATTCATGATCAATTTAGCCATTGCTGACTTGTCACAGGTGCTGTCCTTGCCCCTGAGGATTTTTTACTACCTGACGGGCACGTGGGAGTTCGGGGGAGGTCTCTGCATGCTCTGCTTCTACCTGAAGTACGTCAATATGTACGCCAGCATCTACTTCTTGGTGTGCATCAGCGTGAGGAGGTACCTGTTCCTCATGCACCCCTTCAAATTCAGTGACTGCAGGCGTGTCTGCGATGTCTACATCAGCATCGTGGGCTGGGTCGTGGTCTGCGTGGGCTGCCTGCCTTTCCCCCTCCTCAGGATGCAGCACCAGCAGGATAAAAACGCCTGTTTTGTGGATCTTCCCATCAAGAAACTCGACCTGCCCACCTCCATCACGCTGATGACCATAGGGGAGTTGGTGGGGTTTGTGACCCCCCTGCTCATCATCCTGTACTGCTCCTGGAAGACAATCCTGTCACTAAAAGAGAGGCACTCTGCTTCCCGGGACCTGGGCGAGAAGAAGAAGGCTTTAAAGATGATCCTCACCTGCGCCCTGGTGTTCCTGATCTGCTTTGGACCTTACCACATCAGCTTCCCCCTGGATTTCTTTGTGAAAACGGGGCAGATCCAGGAGGGCTGCGTGCCCATCTCGGTGTTCCACGCCGTGGCTTTGTGCCTCGCCAGCCTCAACTCCTGCGTGGATCCCATCATCTACTACTTCACCACGGATGAGTTCAGGAGACGCCTCTCCAGGCAGGACCTGCAGGACAGCATCCATCTCCAGCACCTCAGCCACGGCAGGAGGCACTCCAGGGATGTGCTTGGGGAGGACACCATGGAATACTGATTCCCAGCACTCCCAATGTTCATTACAGTTTGGCCTTTGCCACAGTTTTTTTCCCTCAGGACACTGAGAACAACAACTAAAACTTCTGCTTTCAGTGAGGGTTGGAATAAACAAACAACTCCCACCCTCAGAAATACCCAAACCTGACCAAAAAGGTGTTGATTTAATACTTCAGGTGCACATTTGCACTGAATAGAAATAGGAGCATTTCCATTCCTCAGCAGGGCAGCAGGAGGTCACGAACCCATGGGAGAGGTGACCCATGTCCCTCTGTCACCCATGGCATCACCCAGCCACGTCCTGGTCAGCAAGAAACAGCAAAGATTCTGGGGTCTTGCCGTGCAGAAAGAATTTGATCCTAAAAATCACTGGATGCCACAACATTCCCTGTTTCTGAAGCACAAGACAATTCAGCAGAGACTGATTCTCCATGGAGTGCCCAGAGCCTGCTCCAGCCGTGCTGAGCATGGGGTGAGCAGCAGAAGGTGGCCCCAAAGGATTTCCCATTTAAATAATTAATGAAGCCTCATTTGGGGGCGTAGCAAATGCCATCACCCCAAATCACACAGCCAGGGAAGTTCCACACATTATTTTTCTGCCATCAGTTCCCACTTCTGGGTGCAAAGACAAGGCTTAGAGCCAGGCCTTGGGTTTTGAACCATGGGGTTGTGCTTGGGGGGTATTTATTCAAGCCATGTGTCCATCAAGCCATTCAAGGTCCTCTTTTCACCAAAAATGGGGCAAATTATTTTCCTTTCACTGATAACTGACCCACAGCCATCACATCCACTCCCCATTAACAGCAGCAGGATTCCAACAGAGGATCCAAACCTTTCCAAAGTTTGCTGTAATGGGAACTCCCTGGAAGCAAAGTCGAAGGTGCCACGAGAGATTTTTAATCAGGGCTCAAAAGTGGATGTTGTTTTAATATTTGCTTTAAATTCAAACCAAAGAGACTTCAGGCTTCATTTGCACCTTCTTGTAAAACGTTATTTTTCTATGACAGTATCATTTTTTATTTATGCAAATGTTGGTTTATAATTTATATAAGGGAAAGACACATTGTAAGAAAATGATGTGAAGCCCAGAAAGTGTCAGAACACAAGAAGTTTGTTTTCTTTTCAAAAACTTTTTCATATAATAAAAGAAAACTCCACCACCTCTTCCCTACAGGAATCTAAGCCAGTGCCTGATGGCTGAGCAAGCACTGATAATTCATGGAAGCCACATTCACAGTGCCAAAAAAAATATATTTATTTTTATATTTCCTGTGGTATATAATAAAATAATAATTTCTAAAAATGTTTTTTAAATGTAATTACTGGTTCCTTCTCCCCTCTGCATCACCATCACACATGAACATGTGGCAGCACCTGGATTTGATGCCTCTTGAGCACCTGCAGAACATTTTAGATGGTCCTCTGAAATGATTTGACTTTTCTTGTTGCACTGGGGAGGAAAGGAAAGGGCCAGGTTTCCCAGGATAATGGGAATTCCTCCAGCTTCAGGAATCCAGCCCATGCCTGTCCCTTCTGGCCACCATGGGAGGGGACCAGGGTGGCCCTGTCCAACCCCCCCAGAGTCACTTTTAGCCCCTGAGGGGAAAAGGTTGTTACATAAAGTGCTGTCAGAAGTTCAGAAATGGTTCAGAGACAGAAACCTCAAGCAGCTGAAGTTTCCCACCCAGAAAATCCTGTGGGTGCAGCAGCACCTTCCCCCTGCCCCTTATTCAAATGAGTGTCAGTGATCTCTTTTTACAGGAAGTGCAGTGGTCGGGGTTGGGGACAGGAGATGAATTCAGGGGACACCTCCTGCCCTCCCCAGGGCACCTCTGCTCCAGGTGGGGCCACACGGAGCTCTCACAGCCCCTGGGGATGCTGCCACCAACAGCTGCAGGATGAAGATGTTCCTTAGATAAGCAGCAGGTGGATTTTCATGCCGTGGGTATTTTTGCCATGCTCTGTATTTTTAGTGTCTCAGGATCCACGAGCTGGACTCAATGATCCTTAGGAGTCCCTTC